ACAGTGAGTGTACTTTTCATGATAAAAATTGTTACATTTCACTAACATGCACGGCCCTGAAGAAAAACTTCCCACTTTGCTGGATTAACCAGGAGGCAATCACAGATCTCTGCAGACACTCGACCATGGTGAGTTTTAAAAGTGGTGGGAATGTGAGTGTGTGGGGGGGAGAGATTGCTTTGACTCCCCAAGAATGCACAAAGCACGGTTGTGCAGTAGTTGTACAAGGAAACAATTTCTGATAATCCTACAGTTGTCCTTAGGCTGCAATCACTCGTGCTGAAGGTTAACAAGCAAACCCTGGCTGAGCTTCTGAAGGAGAGTGGGCGGCTCCCTGGTCCTTATGAAGCCAAACTGTGTGCTGCCTTGGTTCCAGCAGAACACACTGCAGACTGGTTTGGTAAAGTATCATAGCACGGGGGCAGGGCAATGGCAGCCGTGCTACAGAATCTCTGTGATAAAATTAATAAGTACATCAGGGGAATCTTTGACACCATTTCTCAGGAGAATTCTATTGCTAGCTGTGTGCGCACCAATGCCATGTTGTGAAGTACAACCTCTGGTCATCCCGTACTACCACCCTCCTTACCTGACCACATAGAGCAACTTACTGCCCCGCATGATGGTCATCACTTGCTCAGCCCCCAGCCTCACCTGCCTGCACAGCAACTACTGGCAGGGCACCATCTCCATACCACCCCGAATAGCTGCTGTGCACTAAGTCCCCAACCGCACCTCCCCACACAGAAATGTACCACGTCCCTTCCATTGTTTCAACATGTGGTGTCTCTTCCACAATGAGTTGCTGAGCATCCTCACAAACATCGTTTGAGAACAATTCCTCGCTGCCAGGCACACAAGGTGATTGACTCTCAACCCTTGGCAATATCTTCATCAACTTGTGTCTGTGTATCCAGGACAAGTACTTCTGGTTCTTTTCTAATCTGATTGGTGGGTAATCCACTAATTGTGTAGTCAATAACATTTTTATTGACCAATCATGTAGCTAATAAGGGAAGGCTTCCTCAGTCCTGGCTCATGCTGGGTCCCGGGGCTACCCCTGCTGTGGCTCTGCAGGAAGAGCCAGATATGCAGGCAGCTTGGGCTCCTACTACATTTAGATTGCAGAGACACAGTATGGGTAGCTCCTGGACCCGGTGCAAGCTCAAACTGAACCAGGATTGCTCAGGCCCAGCTCGCACCAGGGAGTCCGACAGCAGCCCCTGTTCATGGTTAGCCCTGGCCATTGCGGACAGAGGCTGCTCAGGCAGCAGTCCCTATTCGTGGTAGCTGGGGCTTGCCACAAACAGGCTACTCCGCAGACAGGTGCTGCTGCCGTTGTAGCAGAGTGTGGGTAGGGGGGGGGGGGGGAGAAGGTGGCACAGCAGAGACAGTGCTGGGGGGAACTGGTCTTGAAGGTGGCTCCCCCCCCAGTGCCAGCTCCTGCTGCCTGAGACAGTGGCAGCAAGGGGTGGGGGAAGGGAGAAGTCAAGTAGACTACCTGATAAGATTAGGCTTATCGGGTAGTTGACTACTCGCCTACATCCCTACCACAATGTCCTGGGGCTTGGTTGTGGGATCCCCACCCAGAATTCCATCCAGTTCAATATAAAACTGGCATATTTTGGGTGCCACAACATACCATTTGTTTGCCTCCTTTGCCTTGTGGTAGGCCCGCCGGAGTTCCTTAGAATTACAGAATACTAAAACTGGAAAGGCTCTTGAGAGGTCATTCAGTTCAGTCCCCAGCCCACACAGCAGGACCAAGTACCATCTAGATCATTCCTAGCAGATGTCTATCCAACCTGCTCTTAAATATCTCCAGTGATGGAGATTCCACAACCTCCCTAGGCAATTTATTCCAGTGCTTAGTTTTTCCTGTTTTCCAACCTCACTCCCCCCCCCCTTCTTGTCCTATCATCAGAGGCCACGAAGAACAATTTTTCCTCCCTCCTTGTAACACTCTTTTAGATACTTGAAAACTGCTATTATGTCCCCTCTCAGTCTTCTCTTTTCTAAGCTAAACAAGCCCACTTCTTTCAGTCTTCCCTCATAGGTCATGTTTTCTAGACCTTTAATCATTTCTGTTGATCTTCTCCTTGACCTTGGCTCTGCATTGTTGGGTCTCACTCAGACCCCTTGTCACACAGGGAATCGAGAAATGCAACCGTACATATCCCAGTTCTTATAGGTCACTTGCAGCTCCAATTGCACCAAATCTTCACCCCACACAATGATTAGATCCAAAAGCTCAGCATTGCTCCAAGCTGGAGAGCATTTGGATCAACAGCCACCACCCCAGTGAGACAGATCCAGGAAACAGATTTAAATTTCTCAGGGTTTGCAGGTGGGAGGAGAGCACCTGTAAACATCACCTGGCTGAAGGGCAGCTGGGTTCAAGGTGATGTCCAGAGTGGCAAATTGGGTTATTGTGGGATATATGCAGGAGCTTAGTAAACTCAACAAAAAACCTACCTGATAAACACTGCATGATTGTCAACAATGCAGAGACAAGAATCCCTCACAGGGTTGGAAGTTTTGTGTTGCGAAAAAGAGCTGTATGTTACGATACTTGTCATCTCTGTGATGTGGGCCCTTTGTTTCCAAAAACTACCTTTTGAAAACAAAAACCTCAATGTACCGGTGTAGATAAGGCCTTAGAATATTTCCATCACAATCAAGCATTTTAACAGTCTCTGGGCTAGCTATACAAGAATGAATATATTTAAATTAACAATTTACCTGGAGCATTTCAACTCCACAGACATCATCTAGACCTCAATATGTACCAAAAATCAACATGCAATTTAACACATATGGCTTACCTACTTAATCTGAATAACTGTTTTATTATTTCATGGTATACTTGTTCAGTAGGGTAGCTTTTAAGAGTCATCTAATTTTGCCTGAAGGCCCCTGAGGAACTTCAAACACCTCAGTGGAGTACAAGACAAACTAAGGATTTAAGATATAAAGTAGTCAGTTTCATTTGATTTTATATTGATAAGGTTTAAAATAAAGAAAGAAAAATTGTTAATCTCAATTTTTTGGATTTTTATTTCAGTTCAATAGATAGCTTATTTTTACTGCTTATTATCCACAACAAAGTGTTCCCCACAGTCATCTGTAGTTCAGGTATAATACATTAGACACATGCAAACTTGTTGAGAATTGAACAGTGAGATCAATGCCTTATGGCAAAGCACCAAATAGTGGAAATTTTTATTCCAAATTAATTAATTTATTTTCTATATTGAGAAAGGGAGCAACTGTAATATCTCATATACCAGCTGAGGAAGGGCTTTTATGCCTTTACACAAGTACCTTTCACCCTTTCTTCACCCACAGTTGTGCTTTTCACACTGTTGGAAAATGTGTCACTAGAATTTATGCTCAGCAGAGACCATCATTATTCCTCCAGTCATAGGAAAATACAGATTTAAAGACAAGTCACTGGATGGATTGAGTTATTCTAAACAAAAGCTAGTTCCCTTCCCCAAGTTTACTGAATAGTCATTGTTTATAGAGTGGCTTCACATATTAGGAAACAACCAAAACCAGATGAGCAGGTACCTCAGCCCCAGTTCTCCTCAATCTAAGGTAGTAAAGGACAGGCAAAGTGGCCCCTCCTCTAGTAGTATTACATGAAAATGAGGGTGGAAGAAGAGAGAAGAATCCAGTTTATTGCTCCCATTAAACCTTTCAGCTGGTTAGGCCAGCAGCTGTTAGCATAGAGTCAGATCTGCTCCTTCTCCCTATCCTTACTAAAAAACAAAAATCACTTTTGACTCAATATGGGATAAACTTTAAGACACCCAAAACCAGAAGAGAAAAGAACAGCATACAAAAAAGATCCCCCAAAAGAGTGATATGAGAGGAAGCAGATTTCTACAAATATAGTCTCCACCTTAATATTCAGTTACAGTTGTCTGATCATTACATACATATAACTGTTAAAATTAACACCCAAGATTATAGCATGTTATAAGCTAGTAAAAGTCTTTGATTTCTCTGTGTGTCTGACAGTGTTTTTTGTCTTGTCAGTTCTATAGTTTCACTCTTCCCTCTGAATAATCAATTTCCCCATTTGTTAGTGTAAACCTTTAAGAAGACACTGGAGAAAACACATTTGCATAGGAGAGTGTAATTTAAAGCCACAGAAGTTAGTAGGCGGCTCAGCAACAGTTATTTATTAAACTATTCGATTGTTCCTAGAGCATCAAGAAGGATTTTAAAGTTTATCAGGACAATTGCCACTTGAAGCACCCCTGCAGGCTTGTAAATTGTCAAGATTCAAAGGAAAGAAAATGATAATCAGTGGGAGGTAGGGAA